ATCGTGTATAATATATTATTTATATATTATGTTAGCAATAACTATATTTTACGTGTTTTCTGAGAGACGAAATACATATTTTCTATATTATTGTCTAATTTCTGTGGAAGAAAGGCACAACAGCATAATCGCACCTGCCACGATTTCGAGACAATTAACTTTAATGTTCTCTCACTTCTGTCAATTCGGAAAATCAACAGATTTGTTCGATTTTTTGCATTTAGTATTATTATTTAATATATTTTCAAAATTCGTTTATAACGTTTAATAAAACACATGATTTGATACAAATTTTGATAATGTTTCATCGGAATCATGAGTCTTATTGCACTTATGCGGTTATGCAAGTTCAGTTTGTATATCAGTCCAACTTCAGACACTTTTAATGTCACAATTTATTTTGGTTTGATTTGTCATAATAATATTTGTTCACACAAACACAAATTAAACTATTGATTCGTTAAAATAAATTATAAGAGTTTATTTAATTATTAATTCATTTTTTTTAAAGTTTTTAAATTATTAAATAATGAGAAATAATTTACTTTACTGTTCGTCTTGGAGAATTTTCCAATTTATTTTTTAAAATACTTTCCAAAAAATTTTTAGAATAATAATAAATACCCTTAATAATAAGTACATAATTAAATGCACAATTTATGTTATAATAAATTTGTTTTGGTTTTATTAAAATAAATATATTTAATTTAATGTACAATAAATGTATTTTACTAAAAACATTTTATTACAATATTCATATTGTTTTTATTCTTAATGGTTATTTTCATTTTTAATTATATCAATTGTTTTTAATCTGAATGCAGTTATGTTTTTATGCATGTCTCATTTTGTCAAAAACGCAACTATGTGATTATGTTTTCCATTATTCTCTACATTAATAACCATTTTAATGATTTTTTAGCTATTGAACTTTAAAGAGCAACATTAAATATATATACAAATCTGATGTTATCTGAAATTTGACAAAATGTCAGCTGTGCCGCTATGCACCTCCCCCACAGATTACTAATTTATACTAATGCACTTATTTCGTTATTTAATGATATACTGAAGGAATAATTTGTTTATTTGATAATGTAACCTTTATTGTAACAATTGAATTAACCTTACAAAAATATAACAAATTGATTTTAATGAAAATAATAATCGAATTGGATTGAGAACAGAGAGAATCTTTGATACAAATTATTTCGTATTTATTTGGTGATACATCTTAACATAACAAAAAACTTACTTTTATACTGTGAAAGTCACTCGACTCGAGTATCCAAATATTCGCGGGATTTTAATTACGAATCAACAATGTAACACTTATCGAACTATAATTTAATACACAATGTATAACTGCCTATTCCATTTCAGGCTATCACACTCGGTCAGCCTACAACAGGCTTTTCATTTTAATAACCTTTCAGGTCGAACCCGAAACACAGACTGCCCCTTCCAGTTCTTGTTTTTCCTTGGGCCATCTATTTCCCCTTCCTGCCTCGATGCCTTAATTTTCGTCGTCAACATCCAGGCTAATTAAGACATAATTGTCCGGAATTGTAAGATTCTTAATTTTGTCAATAAAAGAAAAACTATTTTTTATATAAGACTTTGGTTTCATAATTATGTTATTTAATGTGTCATGGAGCCATTTAGATAAAAAATGAGTCGGAGAACTGATAACAGAAACAATAGGTCTAAGCGGATAACCAACCTTATGAATCTTAGGCAATCCATAAAATTTTGCTAAATTAGTATCATTCTGTGTCAGTTCTTTATAATGATATTTTCTATTCAAATAAGAATTATCATTCACAAACAAACAGATTCCGTAACAATCAGCTTTTAAAGAATCAAACGGATTACAATTTAATTGTAAATAAGTTTCACCATCCGAAAGTAAGGTCTCCACTTTTTCTATGTAGTCCGACTTTTTCATAGCAACTGTAATATTTCCCTTGTCTGCTAGGGCGAACATTATGTCTTCATGTTTGTTAAAAAATATTTTTGTGTCGTTAAGTTTTTTTAATAACAATGTATCTTTTATATCTAGATGTTTATGATAACATTTTTTATATAGCATCGAAAAGTTACGTAACAATTTTTGTCTAAAATCATTTGTTATATCATTGTCTAAGTCATTAAAGGAGAAAAAATATTCCGTAGACTTAATAAATTCAATAAGAACATTATAAGATATATCTTCTTTGAATTTAAATTTTTCACCTAAAGACATAATAGTAATCACATTGTCAGGAATGTCAATGTTACTAATGTTTTTAAACCAGTTAGATTGAACAGTAATATTATCATATTTTTTATTTTTCTTAATAATATCAATTTTGTTTGCAAATTTAGTATTTAACTTACTAGTATAATTAAATTTTTCTTCGTCGTCAATTTTTAAAATCTGGTTAAAAATATTATCAGGAAAACAATTCTTTTAATAAAGGTTTTAACGAATCAACTTTTTTACTAAGATATTCAAGATGAATACAGTTATCCTCAATGAAAATATTGAGTAACTTGGTTTTTAGAGAAGTAATAGTGCGATTCATCTTTTTCATACCAGTGTTGCTATGAAAGGTAAAATGACGCAAACCTGAAGAAATATATCCAATGTGTCTTGGAGTCAGATCGTTGGTACGACAATACAGCAAAAAACGTTGTTGTGCAGAACAGCTGATTATTTTTCGATTTATGTTGATCCAATTCTTTAACAAACTTCTTTGATCGTTGTTAGAACAAAGATGAAGGATGTTGTGATGTTGCACAAAAGTGTGGCTGACCGTCATAGATTCAAGGTCAAACATTATATATTTAAAAGAATTTATCACTTGGTAAAAAATTATAAAATAAAAAATTATAAAATTTTAATTTTCGAAAAACTTAAAAGTTCACGCCATGTCAAGGTGTTTTAAATATTAAATTATATTTAAATAACAAAATCGGTGTTAAAGTTAAAGAATTCGTATAGTCTGATAAGGATTATGATGTAAATATTTAAAGAATATTGTTAAATAGATAATATTATCGAAAAATACCTGAACTAATATGTATTTAACTTACTAATTTTAATGAAATTTTTTTAGTTATATTTATATTTGACTTAAAACACTTGCAGTACTCGCTTTTGTAATAATCCAAAATTTCAATTTTACATCAGTGAAGGCTTGTAGGAAAAATCTTCTTTAGTATTTAAAAAAAAGAAAATTGAAATCGGTAGAAATTTCTATTGTCGGCAGAATTTTGTCCAAAACATTCCATTTCTTCCCACTGTGCGCGATAGCATAAGATGTAAAGGCGCGCTTGCGTAAGTGCTTCAATTTCAGGATCCAGGAAGCTTAAACACAATGAGAAAATTTTGGGGACGTTGCGGCATTAACAATCTGCTGAGGTAGCTCTGCATTGAAAATGCTGCTATAGAGCCATCTGTAGGTTAGATTGATTGACTTGGGTTGAAGATAACTTTCTTTCCTTTCAAAAAGCCAGCCTATTTTCGTAGGAAACATTTAGCACCTAACCCAAAAGTCATATGACGCTCGAAAAAAAGAAACGAATCTAACTTTCACGGATCTCTGTGTGCTCCTCGGTAAAGTTGCGCTCTAGCTCGCGATAAAACGCAGCTGTGCCACCTACCGAAGCAGCAACGTCCCTAAAATTTACTCAGTGCACCTCATTAATTCATAAATAGTGCCCTACAACTTTAGAAAATTGATATTTGTAATCTATATTTCTTGTAGAATACACTAAAAACATAAATTTGATAACCACTTAAGTCGACTTAAATCGTTTTTCTAGCGAACGGATCATATACTGAAATGAATGTTTAGTTTGAAGTCTATAGAAATATATATCAGAGTAATGGATATATCGGGGACATATACTGAACTGAATGTATAGTTTAAAGTCATAGCACCAATTTAGAACTAAATTAAGGCTGCAGGTTGGGTCATTCCATTCTAAAATAGTGCTTAGATAGTCGAATACGAATTGCAAATTATAGTTAGCTTTAATTTTAGCTGGTTGGAAGAAATACTGTTAATTGTGTATACGAAGAACAAATTTTATCGTTTATTTGAGAACTAATAAGAAACTGAGAGGAACAAATTATGTGAAATAAATAACTCTTGTTACTATTACTTATTTTTTTAAAATCATATTAAAATCATAATATTACATAAACATGATTCTAAATTTACATTTAAAAATGCTAAGATTTTTTTGTTGACGCACCGAGTTTTAAATAAAAATTTTTCTGTAAATTGTGCTGAACTAATAATCATGATTATTAATTTAAAGAATTCGTAAAGTCAGGTTCAGATTATGATATAATTATTCATGAAATAGTGTTAAATGGGTAATATTAACGAAAAGAACCAGAACTAATATGTATTAAACTTACTAATGTTTAAGAAATGTTTGTGGTTATATTTATATTTGATTTAAAACACTTGCAGTACTATTGAGATGACTTTCGTCATTCTAAATTTAAACAATTTTAAGGTTATGTTCTATAGAAATATATATTAGAGTAATGGTTATATCGGGGACATTTACTGAACTGAAAGTATAGTTTGAAGTCATAGGACCAATTTAGAACTAATGTTCAGAATATACACTTATCACAAAAACAAGCACAGGGAACAATGAAATAAAAGAAACCGAACTTTTACACATATGGAAAACTAACTATTTATTTTATAACTGCGATACGTTAGTTCAATAGCATACAAATATAAATTACTTCCGACTTTTAGCGCGTCACTTCGTTATCTGACCTTTATCAAAAATCTCATTACACAACACTCTTACATTAAGTTATAGAGGTCTCTGTCTATTTTCTGAAATTCAAATTCTTAACATCCTCCCACCATTTTCAGGAATCGTAAAACAATTTTTAAAAAACCTAATCCAAATCATACAACATACATATATACAATTACACGTAGACATATTTCTTTTCATAAATTTACACATACGCACAATTTCTAATATTTTAGTCTATCTGGCTTTTTACTAATACGACCACTTTTCGTCGTTACAATTTCATTATTTTGAAAGCTCTTATTGGAATTTTCTTTTGCTTCCAATAAGTCGTCTACTTGATCGACAAGCGGCTCACACTTAATTGATTTTATACAAGGTTCATTTTCACCAATTGGAGTTTCTAATGGATAGATTCTCTGCACTGGTCGTTTAAACAATCCGTTTTTTGTTTTTATTAAACATACTCTTATCTGTCCATCACGACCGATATTGTTTCGACGACTCGCCCAAGAGGCCAATCCATTCTTCTCTGATTGTCGCTCCCGATCAAAACAACATCTCCTGTTTTGATTTTCGCGTTTCTTTCTTATTGTTTCGTAATAACAGCTGACTCAAATATTCGTTTCGAAACCGTTCTCTTAAATCTTTTAAAATTTGATTTCTATGTCTCAACTTTTTATTCAATTTTTCACTAGAGAGTACGTTCAAATCTGGGACTCCTGCATCATCCGAGACATAAGTCAGTGGTCGCGAGTTTATTACGGCTTCCGCATCGCACAATGCCGTCGTTAAACTTTCGAAAGACAGACACGCTTTGTCTAACACCTTTTTCAGTATTGTTTTCATGACCCCCACTAATCGTTCCCACCAACCCCCCCACCAAGGGGATGCTGGCGGATTAGAATGCCATTCGATTTCTCTCGCTGTACTATACCTACAGATTTTCTCCCAGTTTAAACTTCTTAATGCATTGGCCGTTCCACAGAAATTAGTCCCATTATCGCTATACACGTTCCGAGGCCTCCCCCGTCTTGCTATAAATCTCCGGAAACACTTCACGAATTCTTCTGTCGATAGAGAAGATGGAACTTCAAAATGGACTTGACACGCTTAACTTTTTGCTTTTTGCATACGACGCATTTTGATTTGATATTTTTTATAAGTTGACGTAGCGAGATTATCCAGAATTTTTCCCGCAAAGTGTTCATTACAACCTGTGTCCCCATATGACCACATCTTTCATGTGTCTCTTGAATTAATAAATTCACAATGTCGTGTCTATCTAAAACGATCAGAAATAAAAACAAATTAGAATCGTCGCGATTAACTATTCCTGATTTGAGAATGATAAGCCCTTTATCATCTCTCAAAGTCCTGAATGACGACAATTTGCCTTTACCCGGTCCTTCAAACATGACTCCCTGCAAATATTTTAATAATTTTATTTCTGCTTCTTTAATTTCTTCGAAAGACAAACTTAAACTTTTTCTTGTTTTAATCGATGCATATGTCATTTGTGACACTTTTCCGTTTTTCCGTTTTTGTTCTCAAATCGCTTTTCTATTATGCAAAAATCTACTTGTCCACGCAATAAATCTCACGAGTTTTGTAAATGAGGAATAGTACATTGTGCACCAAGTGCGGAAAGAAGCCGTTTTCCGGCGAGTTTGTTAGTTGCTGCTCGAGCGTAGCGACTGCAGCAATCAAACTGGCCGGAAAAGGCTCTTTCTGCATGAAGTGCACACAGTGCTTTGTGTAACACCTGCATTTAAAAAACACTCTTCTTCACGGTTTGAGGAAATAAAAATTTCTACACCTATATTAAATTTTAACTTTTATTTTATAAATCTATTTTATAAACTTTAACAACGACAATTTTAATAGAATCAACTTATACAATTAATTGCACTTATTAGGAACCATTTTTTCGTGTTTAATTAATAATTTAATTTTTTTGAAAAACATAAATAATAAGATTTAACTTTATAAAATCACATTTTATGAGAATGAATGTGGATGTTAATGTTAGAACAGCTTGTCAAATGAAGTTGTATATCTTGTCCAGATAATACTTTGTTTACAGAATTCGCCTCTGATACATTTGTATTTACTTGATTTAGTGAATTTCTAATTTTATTTGTCTCGACGCATGTTTCTTGAATTGCTTCATCTAATTCGGGGAATGAAAATTCTAAATCGAACTGACGCGGTGAATCACTGTTTGATTCATTTTCTCCGATAGGTTTCTGATGATTTTCACCGTCCGCAAAAGAATTCCGACAGCCATTGTTATTTGAATCTGATTCCATGACGCCTGTAATTTTACACACAAAATATATAGTTTAATAAATTATTTAAAATATTGTAAATTACTTAAATTATAAATTTTTTTGTATTACCTGATTTTTGAAATTGGTTTGCATTTGAAGTACTTGGTAAATTGATTTCTGAACCAATTTTTGACATAGTTTTTGTCTTTTGGTGCACTGAATCGGCAATATAGCCTTCAACGACAGCGGGCGATTTCCAAGCGCCATGGCGCATCATATCAGTCATACTGGCACCTGTAATAATAATTAAATACTTAATGAAATACTGAATTTATTGTATTATTTTATTTTTATTTTATATATATTACCGGAATTGGCGAGTAAAGTTGCTGATGTTCGACGAAAGCAATGTCCTGTAAAAGTTTTTGGATTTGGAAGTTTTAAATATTGCGCAATAATTTGTGGCATTTTTGCAAATGAATTTCTGCCAATGGGTTGCGAAGTGCATTTTTCATTTCGGTAGCACAAAAAGAATCGATCTGTCGATGTATTCGCTTGTCTAAGAGATTGATACTTTGTAATTAATTCCAAATTTTTTCCTCCAATGACAAAAGATCTGGGAGTATCAGTTTTTGTTTTCGGAACGTTAATTAACATTAACGTACCCTGAATTTCTATGTCCTTTACTGACAAATTTGTAATTTCCTCCAAACGACACGCACCGTATACGCCAATAAGCATTGCAACCTGTATATAAAAACGTAATTATGAAATTATAGTTCAAATGACAGATGAATTTTAGGTTAGGTAATAATTTTTAATTTTTTTTATATAGAATTTTCACAAAGTTGAAAAATAATTTAACTTACCTTCATTGCTAAAAATTTGTCATCCGGAGCTTCTAGCAAAAATTGTCGAACTTGGTCCGATGTTAAAGCACTAGACTTTTTTGGCTTAAACCCTTTATACTTAGCTTTTAAGAAAGCGCGGAGATTAATATACCCTTCAATTTTTATGTTATTGTTAACATTTAATGTGCTTCTCAATATCGAATAGACACTCCATAGAGTTGTTGGAGCTTTTGTTTCAGATAGATGCTTCATGTAAGCGAGAAGAACGTTTTCGGAGAAATGTTCGAGTTTTTTTTCAGCTCTCCAATCCATGAACTTTTTGTAGGCAAGATTGTATATTGGAAATGATTTTTTTGGCAATGAACTTGCTTTCGCTTCCTCTGCGGCATTGCGAATTTCAGGAGGAGTACAATATTCTATCGAATCGTCCATTTCCATATCACTCATCTTATCACAACAAACAAATTAGAGGTTATGTTTCTCGATTGCAGCCGGCCAGGTAACGCACGGACACAAACAATATAACTTAACTTGACAATTTGACACTCCAGCGCATTAATAAATTTTAGTTTTTCTATTTTTATATCACATATGGTCTACATTAATTAAAAAACTAATGTTTTTTTTAACATTTGACTCCGCAACAAGTGAACCGCACGTTGACAGTTTTAATGGTATGAGAATCATGTGAACATTATTACAGCTTTGCAGCATGGTTGCCTATCTACAGGCTGAAAGTGTGCAGGAAAGTAAAAAAGTGTGCAGGAAAATAAATATGCAGAAATCAATAACTTTGTGCATCTTTTACATTGCAGTAAAGAAGCACTTTTCTTGCAGGTGTTACACAAAACAATTTACTCGCCCTAAACTCCGAAACTTCCGAGGCAATCATATTCACCAATGCGCTTTTCTTAATTTCGCTGTGAACTTGCTTTTCGTCAACCCTACTCCCCCCCGAAGGCCAGTCTGTCTTGCTGTGACGAAGCCAGTCTGGCCCCTCCCACCACTTAGATTCTACTAACTGGGAGGGAGAACAACCGCGTGATGACAAATCTCCTTCCCCAATTTCTCGACTGATTTCGATCTCTTTAATCAACGGCAGTTCCTGTAACCAAACTAGAAATTCGTCTTCTCGCTTCTTGTCAATCGCAACATCGCACTCTATTTTTTCTTCCCATAGTTGTTTAAGAAGAATTTTGGGTTTCAAGGAAACCGGACTTGTAAAACCGATAGGATCAAATATCCCATGCGATATGGATTATATCGACCGCTTGGTAAAAACGGTGGGGATTTCCACATCCAACGCATTGGGATTGATTGCTATCGTATCTCTTTCCTTATTCCACAAAATGCCCAAATCTAACGCGATTTTTATCTCCATAATTTCTCCTGAACTTTCCCACCCACGTGATTCGAAACCACCTGCAGCCATGATAGTAGTGTGAATCTACGCTGGTCACACAGTTGTCTACGTAAAATGATTTTTTTAACATTTTTACTGACTTTTTTGTCCAAGGAAATTCATCGTCACCCTGTATTCTTTCCAGTGCTTGCTCTATCAATAACTCGAATATCGGCGATAATAGAAAGGGACTACAGGATAGCCCAAAAACTACTCGGCAATGTCGAAATACAACAATTTCCCCATCAATTTCCCACAAAAAACGTAAACAATCTCTATCTAATTTGTCAACACCGATCTGTAAAAACGCACCCTTTATATCTGAAATGACACCTACTTTTCTTTCACGGAATCTGTTTAACGCAGCCGGAACGAGTTCTATTAAATTAGGTCCCGTTTCCAAACAATTATTTAATGACGGTTGACCCTTTTTTTAGACGATGCGTCAAATACTGGTCTTATAGTGGTTGTGCTATTCAATTTTATGACAGGTCGATGTGGCAAATAATGTCCAGTGCGGGAAATTTCTTCTTTGGGAATTATTTCTATAATATTATCGCGTAACCACGTTTCAAATACTTTGCTATAGTCACGAAATAAGCCTTGATTTTTAAATTTCTCTATAGTCTTTCCTAAACGCTGACGGGCTATATCGAAATTTGTTGGTAGTGGGGTTTGGTTCTCCTTCCACGGTAGTCTAACTTGGAACCGCCCTTCAGGAGTAAACTCAGACGTGCTCACTATGAATTCTCGTATGTTCGCGTCACGCATTACTTTACACTCATTTTCAATAGGATCTGTAATACCGAGAATGTCTAATCGACAAAGTTCGGATGGGTTCGCCTCTTGAACTAACATCGTCGTCAACATATTTATTGTCTCCGACTTCTCCTCTATATCTTTTGAAACCCTTCTAATCACCGTCCAGCCCAGTAGCGTCTCTAGTATAGTCAGTCCGTTGGTCAAATCGCGCTTTTTTCAAGTAATCAATTTTCCTGCAATATCGGCTCCAATAAATACATCGATAGAACCCCCCTGATACCCCGCGTCTGTCAAATGAATATTTTCTTTACGTAAATCATCGAGCCAGGATTCTTTTTTATTACATGGAATAGTCTCACAGATTCTTTCCTGACTCAGTACAGAAAAATTACATGCATATTCTTTACACGTATTTTAAATATGACATGTTTCTTTATTTTTGATTTAACACCCCCAAACAACGAATGTGCAACTTCAATCTCTCCGTGCGGCGTGTATCCTAATTGTTTAACTATATCTGCTCGAATATATGACCGTTGCGAAGCTGTATCAATAACCGCTCTGACCATTATTTCGCGTAAATCAGATATACACTAATACACGAAGAGTCTGCAGATACACTTCAGGGGCTGCACAAATGGTGGCTAAATTATTTTCTATTCCTTGTTTGTTATTATCTTTACAAATCATATCATCTTTTGACACAAAACCCGGACACAACAATAATTCATGACGTCTAGAACACCAATTACATTTTACTTTTGCCCGACACCATTTTGCCGAGTGACCTCGTCTTAAACATACAAAACATGCATTTTCTCTTTTTATATATTCTTTTCTTTCAATCAATTCTATTTTTCGTGCAACCTCACACTCTTTACTCTCATGAGTAGCTTTACAAAAAATGCATGCTATACCTAGAGATGCACGACGAGACTCTGTCCTTTCATAAAAGAAAAGAGATGAAAATATAACATTCAATTGTTCTCATTGTTTTTCTCGCGAGATTCTCGGTTTTTCGAGACGAGACTCGCTCGAAGTGCATCTCTAGCTATACCTGTTTACCTTTTTCTGTTGTAAGAAGAGCACTAGTGTCGGGCACATCTCTCGACGTTGATGTTCCTCGTCCAGCTCTAGGTTTCTTTGATTTCTCCGCTTCCGATGACAGACCAAATCCCTGGAGAGCCATATCGATACGTTCCTGACTCTCGACTTCCATTTGCAGAAACTCTAATAGTTTGGTCAGTTTATCCTTGGTTACATTCTGTTCCTCGGCGTCTATGGTATGATACTGACCATTGCGTTGCCAAGCTCGTAGAATGTCTTCCGGGAGGGCAGATTCAACTAGGGGATATAACATTGACGCACATTTCTCCGTCGTTACTCCGAGCGTGTCTAGAGCACGAATGTATGCTTCTAGCTTATCGTAAATTGTAGAGAGTGTCGCCTTTGGAGCTTCTTTGATCGCATTTTGAAGCACCAAACTTAACAATTCACGAACATAGTACTCCACTACAATATCGTCTTGACCGAATCGACTTTTAAGACTTTATATCGCCTTATCATAGTTATCAGCTGTGGGGGGGAAACTGCGCATTAGGTCACGTGCCCTTAAGTCCGGTGCTGTAGCCTGTATGAGGAATTGAAACTTATCCTCGCGTCTAATTGCTAGATCTTCATGAACCTTTTTGAATATGCTCCAGAATGGGAGCCACTCCTTAACGTGTCCCCTGAATTTTGGTATTTCAATTTGTGGTAGCTTTAATGATCCTTTTATCGCTCCATTCCCGGTGTCTGATGCCACGGTCTGGAGGCATTCAACTTGTACTCTATCCAATTCAGCAATCTTTAGTTTTGCCTTTAGAAATGCAGTTGTATACTCGTCCACTACTTCCAATTCCTTAGCAATTTCCTCCTCAGAGGGTTGAGATTTAAGGAGAGCTTTGTTGCAAATAACGTTCACAGCTTCTAGTACTTTTGCCTTAACTTCTAATAATTGGAAAGCCACCATCTTGTCGTCTCGGGGACACATGTTCGGATATCTGGTCCAAAACGAATTGCACGCTTTTGTAAAGGTCGCTCTTAAACTTTTTCGATGTCTTTTGTCCGCTTCCATGTTTCGGCTTTTTATTATTCACTCACAGATCACCTGTGTATGCACCTCGTTCGTAACTCCGAAATCAAGAAAATTAGTCCTGTCACGGTCGCCACATGTTCAGAATATACACTTATCACTAAAACAAGGCACAGGGAACAATGAAATAAAAGAAACCAAACTTTTACACATATGGAAAACTAACTATTTATTTTATAACTGCGATACGTTAGTTCAATAATATACAAATATAAATTACATCCAACCTTTAGCGCGTCATTTCGTTATCTGACCTTTATCAAAAATCTCATTACACAACACTCTCACATTAAGTTATAGAGGTCTCTGTCTATTTCCTGAAATTCAAATTCTTAACAACTAAATTAAGGCTGCAAGTTGGGCCATTCCATTCTAAAATAGTGCTTAGATAGTCGAATACGAATTGCAAATTATAGTTAGCTTTAAGTTTAGCTGGTTGGATGAAATACTGTTCATTGTGTATACGAAAAACAAATTTTATTGTTTATCTAAAGAACTAATAAGGAACTGAGAGGAACAAATTATTCCAAATAAATAACTCTTCTTACTATTACTTATTTTAAAATCATATTAAAAACATAATATTACATAAACAAGATTCTAAATTTACATTTAAAAATGCTGAAATTTTTTTGTTGACCCATCGAGTTTTAAATAAAATTTTTTCTGTAAATGGTGCTTAACTAATAATCATGATTACACTGAGTGAAAAGAAGGTACACTGCTGTTCATTTGGAGGTTGTGTATCGCAATTCAGATTTGGATCAACTGCGCACTCTAAAGGGGCGTGTAACGCGCCCCTTTAGAGCGCGCTGCTGACTCTTGACTCGTGGGACGCAGTGAGACCGCATGGTCAAATAACCTAGGTTATTGAGACCATGCGAGTTCACTGCGTCCCATGTCAAGAGTCAGCAGCGCGCTCTAAAGAGGCGCGTTACACGCCCCTTTAGAGTGCGCAGTTGATCCAAATTTGAATTGCGATACACAACCTCCAAATGAACAGCAGTGTACCTTCTTTTCTCTCAGTGTATCAATTTAAAGAATTCGTATAGTCAGGTTCAGATTATAATATAATTATATTATAATCTTGGGTTTCTTATTTAAGTCTACGAAATTATTTAATATCCAGTCAACGATGATAATTTTGTATAATTTATTTGTTCTCTCGCGCATGTCATATGCTTTTACTATTGCTATTCCATTTTTTGATAAATATAACGACGAACTCGAGAAAATTCAAAAACGATTCTTAAA